GGCTCGGGGTCCCTCATGGCTTTCTTCACGGGTCCCCATACGAGCTCGGGGTCCCTCATGGCTTTCTTCACGCGTCCCCTCACGGGTTCAGGTTCCTTAAGGGGTTCCCTTGCAGGATCTCTCACTGGCTCAGGGTCCCTCATGGATTCCATTGTGGATCCCCTCACAGGATCTCTCACTGGCTCAGGGTCCCTCACAGATTCCTCCATGGATCCCCTCACAGCCTCAGGGTCCCTGATGGATTCCATCACGGGTCCCCTCACAGCCTCAGGGTCCCTGATGGATTCCTCCATGGGTCCCCTTACGGGCTCAGGGTCCCAGATGGATTCCTCTATGGGTCCCCCAACATGCTCAGGGGCGCTCACAGATTCCTCCACGGGTCCCCTCTCAGGCTCAGGGTCCCTCACAGATTCCTCCACGGGTCCCCTCTCAGGGTCGCTCACGGATTCCTTTGCAGGTCCCCTCACAGGCTCGGGGTCCCTCATGGATTCCTTCGCGGGTCCCCTCACAGGTGCCTTGAAGGGTTCCTGGGGGGATGTGGGTCCTCCCTCAGGTCCCCTCCTGGGCGTCTTGAGGAGTCCAGGCTCCCTCGTGGCTCTCTCCACAGGTCCCCGCACGGGGCTGGCTCCCACGCAGGGCTGCGTGGTGACTGGTACCCTCGCTGGGCCTGGCCGGAGCCGGGCACGGTCCCTCAGCTGCACAGGCATCCCTTCCTCTGGCAGGTCTTCCCGGCAGTGACCACCAAGTGGCCCCGCCCGGCCCGGCCCAGCCCAAGGATTCCAGGGGCTGTGACAACACAGTGGGCTCTGTGATGGTGGCGTCTGCAGAATCCGGGGGGCCAGGCCCTGCACCCGGGCCCCACCCCAGAGGACACAGGAGCCTGGCTGATCTGCCTGAGGCCCCCTGTCCCCAGTGTCCTAAGAAGCCAGGAACCACGTTAGGAGGTGGTGGGGAGGGGGCAGGTGGCTGGGCGGGGAGAGGGGCCCTGGGGTGGGTGAATGGTGGCCCCCAAAGACGTGTGCGCTTTCCGACCCCCAGGGCCTGCACCATGCCTTGGGTGGCAAGAGGTCTCTGTGCAGGACCCAGGCAGCAGGTGGGTTCTGGTCCACTCGGGGCCTCAGTCCAACGACAGTGTCCTTACAGAGCGAGGCGGCGGCCGGGGGCGGGAGGACTCACCTCCTCGAACACGCTCCTCTGGAAGTCCAGCTCCTCCTGCAGGCTCTGGCAGCGGTTCTCCAGGTCCACGCGCATCAGCGTCTCCTTCTCCAGCTGCTTCTTAGCCACGGCGTGACCGTCCTCGGCCTGAGACAGAGTGGCGGCTGAGGACGTGCTGGTTGCACCTCCCGCGGAGCCCCGGCCCCGGGAGCTGGGCCTACCTTGGCCAGCTGGGCCCGGAGCTCGGCCGCGTCGCTCTCCAGGCTGCGCTTGTCACTGAGGGCGGCGGCCAGCTCCACCTCGCTCCGGTGGAACAGGGACTCCAGGTCCTTCACGCGGCCCTGGGCCACCGAGAGCTCGCCTTCCCTCTTGCTGGCACTGCAGGTCAAGAGGCCAGGTGAGCCAGGGGACAGCGTGGCCACGCAGTCACAGGGGACCTGGCCCTGGCCTAACCCCCACGGGACACGCCATGCCTCTCAGGGCTGGTGGCGGGCAGGCCACACAGAGCGGCCCCCACCACTGGAAGCAGTGGCACTAGTGTCCTTTCCTGGGAGTTCTGGGCTGACCGGGGAGTTCACGGGAACGGGGGACGCGGGGTCTTGCCGGCGCCTGCCCGGCTTGGACATCAGGCAGCGAACACCAGACCTCAGACACGGGAGTGCCTGTGGCTTCTGAGGGCTCTGGGGACACCCCGGCTGCGCATGGCTGTGGGGAGGAGCCACTCTCACACCGCGAGCCACCGGGGACTCCTCCTAGGTCTCTGCTCAGAGGCCACAGGAAGCCACGCTAGGAGGGAGGCCAGCCCTGGGGACGGTGGGGCTGGGCCACGACCGTTTCTGGGAGAAGAGGTTGGCCTGCAGGATGGAGCAGGGCCAGGCGGCCAGGAGCAGAGGAGTCGGGTCTGGAAGGGCAGGTCCCGCAGCCCGCTGCAAAGAGCAGGGTTCTGGCCATGGCGGCAGCCCCTCCTCTGAGCACCAAGGGGCTGACGCAGCTCCAACCAGGTACAAGAGCTCCCTGGGGCCACCAGGAGCCGGGCCCACTGGTGGCGTCCTCCGTGAGGCCACCTGCCTTTGTCACCATGGATCTTTGGCAACTGATTTGTTAGCAGAAGAAAAACACCAGACCAAACCTGTTAGGAAGGTGACTGAGTTTGGGGACAGTGACCAGATGAGTCGTGATCACTGAGGGAGGCTGGGCATAAAGCTTGAGGAAACTGCGGTCAGGGAACGGACACCCAGGTCAGAGGTCAGAAGTCAGGCCCAGGGTATTTACTATTTGAAAGTAATTTTTTCCTCCAAATTAAGGTGAACTTCACATACTATAAAACTCAGTGTTGCTGCTGCAGTGCTGGGGACAGAACCCAGGGCCTCACGCACACCAGGCAAGGGCTCTGTCACTGGGCAGCACCCTGGGCCAAGATTAGAGGTTGAAGTGGACAGTCCGGGGGCCATGGGGTGGCTCCTGGGTGGTGCAGACCCCTCCAGTGTGCACCACGCAGCCCCTAGGAGTTCCCAGAGTGCCCAGGGCAGAACCAGGCCTTGCAGGCTGGGAAGGGGTCTCCCTCTGCCACACCCAGTCCTTCTATCTTAGGGGCCTAGACCTTGTGACCCTCCAGCCTCAGCCTCCTGAGTGGCTGGGATGGCAGGCGTGGCCACTGCACCTGGCTCAAACCTGCTTATTAACCACAAAGCAGGCTCCCTGGAGGTGGGCAGCTTGATGGCCGCCCAGTGTCCACCTGGGGTCAGCTGCCAGCTGAGGGACGGGTGGGATACCAAATGGAACGTGCAAGGTCCAGGTGATCTGTCCTTGCTCATGCCTGAACTCTGGCTCGTGGTCACTGGGAGGACTCAGAAGGTCCCTTGGAGCCCTGGTTCCTGGGCAGGAGGGTGAGGGGTGCCTGGGCCAACCTGGAAGGTGACCTCTCCTGGCAAAGGGACACCATGAGGAGTAGGACTGCCCACATACCACTTACGGGGCCCAGGCACCACTGGCCACGAGGCCCCGGTGACTACCTGCGCTACAGTTCAACCTGGACATAACACGGGCTCTCAGGCCACCAGCTGCCTATCCCCAAACCAGGAGGATGAGTTACCACCAATTCTGGGGACACCCAGATGAGCAACTCCCTCCAGGAGGCCACATGACCCTCCTACCAGCAGGGAGCGGCGGAAGCCCACAAGTGCCTCTGAAGCTGACCCAGGCCTGGGGCAAAGCAGGAGGACAGGACCGCAGCTCTGGGGGGAGCAGCTCTGGGGGGAGCAGCTCCGGGGGGGAGCACTCTGGGGGAACAGCTCTGGGGGGAGCATTCTGGGGGGAGCACTCTGGGGGAGCACCTCTCGGGAACAGCTCTCGGGGGGAACAGCTCTGGGGGGAGCAGCTCCAGGGGGGAGCACTCTGGGGGAACAGCTCTGGGGGGAGCATTCTGGGGGGAGCACTCTGGGGGAACAGCTCTCGGGGGAACAGCTCTGGGGGGATCACTCTGGGGGAAGCAGCTCTGGCGGGGAGCACTCTGGGGGGGCAGCTCTGGGGGGAGACACCCCACGGGTCCTGCTCAGAGCACTTGGGACCTGTGGGTGGTGACACAGAAATGCCTGCAGAGCCCAACTCCACTAAGAGCTGTCAACTGAGGGAAGTCAAGCCCCCCCACCCAAAAGCCCAGGGTCACACGCCCGAGGCCAACAGGACCTTGTGACACAGGGCCTGTCCTTGCATGTCCCGGGTTTAAGTGAGGCTGTGCACAGCGTGCTGCCTGTGTGAACACCAGGAAAGACCAGGTCGCCTCAGCCCCCCACTCCAGCTTCAGCCGCCCAGTCACCCGCTAGTGTCCAGGCCACAGGCCAGCCCCCCGGCCCTCCTACCTCTTGTGCACCTCTTCCAGCTCCGCGCTCAGCTTGCCCATCTCGATCTGCAGCCGGGCACGCTCCCGGGCAGTCTCGTCCAGGGCCCTGCGGGCGTCCGCCAGCTCCGACTCGTACAGCGCCTTAATGCCGCTCACCTGCGAGACAGCGCACGGTGGGGGGAGCGCAGCGCAGCGCCCAGGCCCTCAGCTGCCCCAGGCGCAGCACACCCGGCAAGACAGCGGCGGCCAGGGTGCTGCCCCACGTCACCCGGCTCACGCGGGGCCCAGTGCCCTGTCGGGCAGCAAGGGGCAGACTCTCCAGCAGGAAAGGTGAACAGCTAGGGCCCAGGAGCCCCCCCACTGTGACCCCTTCTGGAATGATCTGTCTCCCCTCCCACACCCCAGCTCAGGGGACAGGTGGCGCCCAGAGGCCCTGGACTCACCTATGCCCGGAGCACCACATGCCCAGAGGGAACCTGACCCACAGCAAAACAGGCCTCAGCCGGCCTCCTGGGACAGCGATACTTGAGCCCCTGGGCAGCAGTCATGGCCACGTCACATACATTTTTCACATTCTCAGCTTCCAAAATCCAAGAATTGGGGGAACACCTGACCAAGGGTCTCCCCTGGGCACTGTGGACAAGGGCCCAGGTCATTCTCTGAGGTGCCGTCCTGGGCACTGCAGGCTGCTGAGCAGTGCCCCTGGCCTTCGTCCACCCCGTGCCAGTAACTCCCCAATCATGAAAGCCACCAGCGTCCCCCAACCTGGTCCTGGGTCCCACTGCCCGAGCTCGGCACCACTGGTCTGACACCACACTGCCTCTTCTCCAGAAGTACCTGGCCACAAAGCCACTCTGCTGCTTTGCGGGGCCTGTGTCCCCCAACACGGGAGGACATGGGCCCTGTTAAGGTCTGGAGGTGAGGGGTCCCCCAAAGCTCACGTGAGACTGTGCTAGAAGGTTCAGAGGGGACACGATGGGTCATGAGTCCCTTCCCCCATCAGTGTTCTCACCCCAACTGGGTGACCTGGAGGCGGGGTGAGGCTGAGGAGGGGGCCCCGGGTGACCTGGGTGGGTCCTGGGTGCACCTCGGGGTGCATGTCTATCTGGAGAGTGGACTCTCAGGCCTCCTGGTCAGCACCGAGCCGCGTCCCTCCCACACTCCCCGCCCTCCCCCGCCTCCCGCCCACCCAGGGACAGCGCCTGTCTGTGGACTGAGACCTGTGAAGTCCCGAGCCGGGGTCCCCTTCCCCTCTCAGTGTGCCAGCCTTTCGGCCGCAGCAGCACAAAAGCTGACAAGACAGGCCCCTCTGGAGGCAGCGGGCCACCTTCCTCGTGGCTGCGCGGGTGTCCGCAGGCTGGGGTCCTGGCTAGGCACTGGCCCGGCCTTCACGGTGCCTGGGACCAGAGAGCTCTCCAGACGAGCACAAACCACCAGCAGGCCAGGGAGGGGCAGGGTTCCTCCAGGCTGCCTGAGCCAGGCCACCCACGCCATCCCTAGAGGGGGCCTGTGGGGCACTGGGTACACAGGCAGGCTTCTGCAGGCAGCCACCTCAGTCCCGTCCCAGCCCTGTGAGCCAGGGGAGCAGAACTGGCTGCCTGCGGGCCCTCGTGCCCTGTCCCCTGCTGCGCACGCGAAGCTACGCGCTGATGTGTTCCGAAGTATGTGAGCCCGACCGCAGCGAGCTCCACCTCACACCCGCCGGCCGGCGGCCGCGAAGACTGACAGCCACAGGTGTGGGACGGGCAGCTCCCCGAAGCCAGGGAGCCCCTGACCCAGCAGCCTCCTGCCCCACCGAGGGTGCACCTCCCAAGGGAGAGCACCCGCCAGGAGACCCCCCAAGTGCTCGCTGGGCAGCTCTCACAACCACCAGAGCCTGAGGCCCAGGCGTCCACTGACAGACGGGCAGATGGCCCGTATACCTGGAGCGTCCCTCGGCCACAGGCAGGAGCAAAGTGACAAAGCTGCAGCATGGCTGGACCTGAAGACCTGGTGCTCAGTGACAGCCAGATACACAAGGCCATGGTTGTGACCCAGTGACAGGAGACACCAGGACAGGAGAGTCCAGAGGCAGGATATGTGTGGCCTTTGGGTACAGGGCTGAGAAGGCTGGCTTCTCCTTGGCGTGAGGAGCAGGTCCTAGAAGCCGGCACTGGAGGCCGGGCGCAGTCACACCCCCTGTGCTCCCAGCGGCTCGGAGGCTGAGAGTTCCCGCAGCCCCAGCAGCTCAGGAGGCCCTGGGCCCCTCAGTGAGAGCCTGACTCCAGACCAAGAGTGCTGGGGTGCGGCCCAGCGGCTAAGGGCTCCTGGATTCGACACCCAGGACAAAAAGTAAGAGACCTGGTCACTGAGGAGGGCTGTCCCTGGGCGCTGGGACACAGCCCTGCTCACCTGGGCGAGCGCACACGCAGGGCTGCGGCACAGCAGGACCGCACTTGGCTTCAGCCCACGCGGCGACCTCGGGGCCGTGCTGTGGGGTCAGACAGAGCCAGGCTGCTTGGGGCTGAGTGGACTCTGAAGGCCAAGCTAGGGCACCCAGGACACCCGGGGAGGACTGACGGCAGCAGCTCCAGGCGCCCCCCATGTCAGGGTGGCCAGGCCCACTGCCCAGACACAGGAGGACCTCCTCCAGACCCCTGGGCTCAGGGCATGTCAAGTCTGCGGGACATGGTGTGGGTGACAGAGCACGCCCACCCTCCGAGGCTCTGGCCACCCTCTCCCTGCCTCTGCCCAGAGGCCATCTGGGGCCACCCTCAGCTCCTTCCCGGGAGCTAACTTGGAGAATGAGCTCTGTGTTGACAAAGTGCCACTCCGGCCCCAAGCGGGCACATGCACAACCCTGCTCTCTGCCCCCAACCCCACCTCCCAGCCCAGGGGTGGTGTGACAGGACACCCAGGGAAGGGTGCTAGGTTAGGTACCCAATGTCTCCAAAGGCCCATGTGTTCAAGGCCTGGTGCCAGACTGGAGCTACTGGGAGCGGGTGGAACCTTAAAGGGTGGCCTAGTAGGAGGTCTGAGGTCACTAGGGACCCCTCCTGTCCTCAGGCTGGAGTGACGACACAGGTGTGCTGCCCAACCCCAGGAGCCAGACCACCCAGCACGTGCGGGACCCTCAGAAGGTGACCATGTCTTTAGGAGGCCCTCTCCTCAGGCCTTGTCACATGGCGGAGCTGGCACACGGCATCAGCGCACATCACCTCTGTGCCCACACTGCCCACTGGACCGCCCCAGTCCTGCGCTCCCTCACCACTCCCAGGGCGTGTGGGCCACCAGTTACCAGCAAAGACCAGCTCAGCGCTGGGCACACCAGCAACTTGGACATGCGTGTGTTTAGACTTTTGATAACTTTATTCATCATGGGTTTTCAAATTTGGCTTATTTTAAAAAACATTCTACCAAAATGTTATCTACCTCACCCAACAAGCGAGGGCAGCCTACAAACCCTGACCCATCCTGTTTAGGGCACCCAAGACGAGTCTGGGAAACAGAAGAACCCAGGAGATGTGATGCCCCGGGGCATGTCAGGTCTAGACAGGGCTCTGGGGCAGAAACGGGCATGGGGAGGGGTCAGAGGTCTGCACAAGCACGCTGCCTTGATGAGGCCATCTCCGCCCCACCTGCTTGGACAGCCACAGGAGACCTGCACCTCTCCAGGGGCACAGGGAGCCCCCTGGGCACAGGGCTCTGCTGGCTGTCCACTCGGCATCGCCTGCAGTGGCTCCACCCTCAGCCACAGCTGAGTGGAGGAGATGGAGGCCATATGGTTGGCCCGACCTGCAGGGAGGGTGGGAACAGCCAGGAGGGTGGGAACAGGTGCGCTCCTGGCAGGGCCACCCGCCCCCTGCCCTGGACACCAGGACACTGGCCATTTGACTTGTCTTTCACGGGATCCTGCCAAGCTTGAGGAATCCCAGCAACTGTGGGAGCATGCAATGGCCCGAAGGTGGGGTCCAGACAACCCAGTGGGCTTTCTTTCCCTGGGCAGCATGGACACAGGGTGGCGCCCCTCCGCTGGAGAGTCACTGGAGACCAGCCCCAGTCCCCCAGCAGAACACGGGGCAGGCCAGGTGGGGGAGAAAGCCCAGGCCAAGTTCCTCCTAGCTCCTGCAGCACCGCCCCCACATCTGGGAACCCCACACCTGCACAGGCACGGGTTCCCCTACCCCCCASCACCCCGAGATCCTTCTCCAACAAACTCTGATCTGGAGCCTGCAAGGCCAGGCGCATGTGGCCACCCATAGTGGCACTGACCACTCCACCAAAACAACACCAACCAAGGCAGCCCGGGGCAGGTCCAGAATCCACACCAAGCCCAGCACTGGTTTCTGTAAGGACAGCGGAAGGTGTACACAAGGTGTGTGGGCAGGAGGGCTCAGGCACCTCACAGCCCTGCCTGCCAGCTCCTACAGCTCTGCAGGCACCCTCAGGGGACGCCCAATCCCATCTCCTCCAGGTCTGAGTCTGACACTGTGGAAGGCAGTCCTGGTCTGAGCAGCATGGCCCCCCGCTGTGACAACCTCTGGTCCCGGAGTCTGCCAAGCTTGCCCTGGAGGCAGCCTCCACCAGGTGCCAGGAGCTGCAGAGGCAAAGCGGGCACGCTGCATGGCACCCCAGTACTCCTTGGTGGGTCCACATCCTTTGGACCCCACAGGACCGCCCCCAGCATCCCTGCAGGGGCTCTACCAGCTATAGTGTGACAGGGGCACTATCAGCCCCAAGCTCTCCCCAACACTGCAGCTGGTGCTAAGGATGAGGCAGCGTGTCACCCCCGCCCTGCACAGCGCCTCTTGCTCCCCTTTACAGGACTGAGAAACAAACACCAAAGCCACACCTGGACACTGATGGCTGGATCAGGCTCCCTCGGGTAGAACTCCAGTGGGGGCCAGCACAGCACTTCCTGTATGCTTGCCAGACCCAAAGGTTCGTGGGACAACAGAGGTCCAAAGACAAGAGACAGCTGCAACCCTGAATGCCAAGCCACTCTGCCAGGCAGGAACCAGGCTCCTGTCCTGAGGATAGCATGTGCTGCCCAGGCGGTGGCCCTGCCAAGTTGGGACAACTCTGCCCCCACTGGACAGATGGCAAAACCAAGGCTCAAAGAGGCTGAAGCCTGTCCAGTCATGCAGATTAAAAAGCAGGTGCCAGACATGTAATCCCAAGCAACTGGGCAGGCTGAGGCAGAAGGACTGCCTGTCTGAGCAACTTAGGGAGATGCTGTCTCCAAAAGAGCTGGGGCCTAGTGGGAGAGCACTCGCCTGGCATGTCTAAGGCACTGGATTCCAACCTCAGCACCACATAATAAAGGCATTTGTGTCCATCTACAACTAAAAAAGATTAGGAAAAAAAGAGAGCGAGCTAGGGATGCAGCTCAGCAGTCTGTGGTCAGCACCTGACCAACACATGAAGGCCCTGGGTTCCATCCCCAGCACAGGACGGGGAAACAAAAGGGAACCTGGATGGGCAGCCCAAGGGTGGCACCACCACCCTTCCAGCTGCCTCCCCCCACCAGGCAGCTTTTTGTGTTTCAGCATCCCTGCCCCCGGCTCCATGCAGCAGAACATGGGTATACATGCCTCCGGGCACTGTCCTGTGTTCTCACTTCATTCTGTAAAACACCTGTTGTGGCCCCACTAACCACCACCCCAGGGGAGGTAGCTCCCAGAAACTCACCTTGCCCTAACCCAGCTTCCCCAGAAGCCCCCCACTTCACCCCCTCTCCAGAGAGGGAAGGCAGGGCCCCTGGTAAATCTAGGCTTCAGTGGCAGCTCTCAGGATGAGACCCTGGGACTCAGGGACCCAAACCTCGGAACAGAAACCAAGTAGTGGGTGCTGCTCCTGCCCTCTGTGTTGACTTGCCCTTGGACTGCGAATGGTGGATGGGAGGGAGAAAAGAGCTTCCAGGGGATGGCAGGGGACAGCGTCCCCACCCCAGGACAGACCCCACCCAGGACCCTGGAGAGACAGCCCTCACCACCCCCAGGGCAGAACTCCCAGAGCCCAAAGCCTCCTTCTGGGTTGGATGGACACCCAGTGCCTACCCCTCCTTCCCAAGCCCCAGGTGGTGCCTGCGAGGCCAGTGCTGTCCTCCAGGCCAAGCTCCGGGCCACCCAGATTCCCCATGGGACCCGGGGAGTTCCCATCAGAGCCCATTCCTCAGATCCCCACCCCTCTGCAGGCCCACCCACTCCAGCCTCCCAGCTCCCACCCCAAGGTCCCTCCAAAGTCCCTGGGCTCCGGGACCACTGTGGAGCCCCCCTCCAGGTCCCAGAGGCCGGCCGCCCCGTTTCCCCCGGAGAGTGCAGCGCCCAGATTCCTCCTGCACACCTGGGTCTGCCGGGCCACCGAGGTGGCGCTGGGGCGCCAGGCCGCCCAAGCCCCCAGGACCCCTCCCTGGAGGGCGGCCCGGGCTGCACCCCGGCCCCGCGGCACCTGTTGCTGGGAGTCCCCCGACGGCCTCCTCCCCGGTGCGCGGTCTGCTCTCTGCCCCTGTCCCTCAGGGACCCCTCAAAACGCCCCTCTCACCAGGGGCACCCCGGACCACCGCGGGCCGCAGTCGCTCCCGGCCGCCCGGTCCCCCGAGACCCCGCGGCCCGCCGCCCGGTGCCCGCCCCTCGAGCTCCCGCAGGTCCCGGAACAGCCCCGGCCCGCACCGCCGCGAGGCCCCCCGCCCCGGGAGCCGCGTACCTCGCGCGTGGTCACCTCCTCCTTCTCGGAGATCTTGAGCAGCAGCCGGTCGTTCTCCAGCTCGAGCGCGCGGACGCGGTCGATGTAGTGCGCCAGGCGGTCGTTGAGCTCCCGCAGCTCCTCCTTCTCCTGCAGCCGCGACAGGCGCGTGGGCGACAGCGGCGTGGCGGGCCCGCCCGCGCGGCCGGGCAGCGGCGAGGCCATGGCGGCGGCGGCTCGCGGCCTGCGCGGCTCCCGACGGCGGCCCAGGCTCCGCGCGCTCATTCAATCCGCGCCGCGCAAGATGGCGCCGCCGCCGCCCGCGGCCCGCCGCCGCGCGGGGCCCGCCGGGAGTTGTGGTCCGACCGCCCCGCGCGGGGCACGCCGGGAGTTGAAGTCTCCGGGCGCCGGGAACCCGAGGGCCGCGCTGGGAGTCTCCCGCCGGCTCCCTCGGGGGTTTCGCTGGAAAGACCGCCGGAGGCCTTCCTTAAAGAGCCACTCCCGCAAAACGGGTGGACTGGAGCAGTTCACGGAGGTGCGCTAGGAAGGCCAAGAAATACTGCATGTTCTCACGTGCGGAAGCGAAAATAGCTGGGCCAGTGTCCAGCGCTCCTGGCCGGTGCCGAGGCCCAGCCGGTACTGGGGAGAGGGGTCACTGAGGGCCAGGGGCAGGGTGGCGAGGGGCAGAGGGAGGGTGAATGGCCAGCACAAAGACAGGGGCAGTTGCACCGTTTACAGGGTGCATTTTATGGAGGACTTGGAGAGAGGGGCCCGGACGCCCGACGCGGAGGGTCAGGAGGCAGGAGGGGGCCTCCCGGGCCGGCTGGGCAGCCCAGCAAGACTCTCTCCGAATAAAAAGGGCTGGGCGTGTGGCAGGGTGGTGGAGAGCCTTGGGTCCCATCCCGGGTACCAGGACCTGATGGGATGTGGGGTGCGCCTGCATCCAACTACCACGTGGCAGCCCGCCAATGTCTACAGTTCTTATGCGGCAACTCAAAGCCACAGGGGAGCCACATCCAGCCACCAAACCCACCTCAGCCACTGTGGGACACTGGGCTGCTGACTCCTGCCGGGTTCCCCACCGGTCTAGCCTTACTACCTCACTGGACTCCGGAAAATTGAGGTGGTGAAGGAACCCCACAAACATGCTCAGGGGAAGAGGCCGGACGTGAAAAGCCACAGGTCACAGAGTGCCATAGATAGAAGAGCCCAGCAAGGAGGGCACAGAGCAGGACGCCACAGAATCCAGTGGGATGATGTCATTGGCTTCTGCCAGCAGCCATCTGAATAGAGAGGCGCCTGTGAGTAGAGGCCAGGGCCTCTGTCTGCAGAAAGGAGGCCCTGGTGGGTGCAAAATGACTCCCTTGCGGGGTCCGAGCTAGGCGGCCTTTTCAGGTTGACTGGGCCCTGTGGGTTGGTTGCTTGGAAGCTCCTGGGTTTGGGGGAAACGGGCTGATGGGACGTGCAGTTTGGTTGTGTGGCCGGGTCTCAGGGACCCAAGGCGGGAGCTCAGTCCACAGCCAGGGCCTCTGCAGGCGTGACTTGGGAGGTCAGTCTCCACAGTGGGCTTTCTCCAGTTGTGCGCTGCCGGCAGGGGCAGGGGGTGGGTGAAGGGGACCTGCCCACAGTGGGGTGTGAGTGGGCTCCACCTGTTGGATGGCAGAGCCACCTCCCTCCTGCCATGACAAGCAAAATGTCTGTCACAGTGCAGCGGTCCCTGGTGTGGACCCTGCAGATGACACATTGGGAACCGGACCCCGCCCACCCAGCCCTCCGAGGACACTGGCAGGCTGCGCTTGGTGCCCCTGTCCCATGGTCTGAGTGACCCCTCGTCCCCTCCCCACAGGGCCAGGCCTTGGAGGCGGGCTGCGCCCAGGCGGACTCCAAGTCCCAGGAGGCACCACGGAGGGCTGCGGCCTTGGTGTTGGGCAGATGGTGCAGCTCCAGCACCTGCCAGGGAGCACAGCTGTCCCCAAGGCGGGTGCCCACACCGGCAGGTGCCGGCCCTGGTAGACGCCTGGCCCAGTGCCTCTGCTCCAGGCAGGGCTGAGTTTTGGTGCCAGATTTTCAAAATCCCAGGCCAAGGGCTGCTGCTGGTTCCTCGCCGGGATCGCCTTCCAGGATCTGAATTCCGGAGCCCGGAGCTCTGGGAGGCCTGGATTCCGGCATCTGGATTTTGGAGGAGTGGATCCTGGATCTGGTGTAGACCCAGGCCTTCATGCGGAAGTCCTAGGTCTTGGGGTTCCAGAATCTGGAGTCTGGGTCTTGGGGACCCTGATTTTGGAGCCTGGAACTGTGGGAAGCCGTTCCCACAGTTACCTCCCTGGCTGGGTGTGAGGCGCTTAGACACACTGTGTCAGAGCCTTCCCCACCCTGTCTGTGTGGGGGTGTGCCTGACCACTGACCTCAAGACCAGTCACTGACCCTGACCTGGGAATGTTGCCCCCCTCGACCTTCATTGGATGGAATTTTCCTCTGAATTTTTTGTTCCCTAATAAAAGCTCACTCCCTGGCGTGTTCCCCCTCTCTTGCTGGACTCTTGTGTAAACCTCACTACCGCATGGAGTGGCTGGAGGCAGGAGCTGGGAGGAGCCGTCTCTGAGCTGGGCAAATAAGGTAACGAGAGTCCTGTCTCTTTAATTTGAACTCACTAGTTCATTTCTATGTCTCGAACCTCTGTTATGAAGCTAGCGTGCTGGTCGCCTGGCTGATGGAACCTGGATTCTGGGGTCTGCCTTTGGGGGGTCCAGATTCCGGAGCCTGAGTGTCAGAATGCAGGAACCTGGGTTGGAACCTGTAATCCCAGGTGCAATCGGAGGTGGCCGAGGCTGGGCTGGTGAGCCTGGAGGGAAGTGCCCCCTGTGTGGGGTCAGAGAGGCGGAAGAGCGGGACACACATGATCAGTAGCCAAGCATGTGGCAAGCCGAAGGCGGTTCGCGTGAGGAAGAAAGGCAGGGACCACCTTGGGAGTGTGCGACGGGAGCAGGAGAGGGGAGGACATTAAAGGAGGAAACACGCGTGCTGCCACACCTGTGTATCCATCAGCTGGTGCTGCATAACAAGCAGCCCCCAAGACACACACACGCCCGCGGTGGTCCTGGTCAACAGGGTCAACGGGAAGGGGTGAGTTCAGTGCGATAAAATTTTGAGAGGAGAAAACGCATTTCTCCTTAGAGGAAACTGTCCTGTTCATCACTGTTGCTGGTCTCTGGGCCTCATTCCCACGCTTCCCGGTATCGCAGCGTGTGTGTGTGTGTGTGTGTGTAGGAAAATGTGAGCGTGGGTAGGGCGGGTCCCCGCTGAGCTCAGGCCCTGGGTAAGGGGGCCGACCCGAGTGGCCGAGGCAGTGCACTCTTATGTCGCCCGCACAGGGGTCAGCAGGAGGAGCAGCTTCGCTGGGCCTGGTGGCTCGGGGCTGGCCCCACTGTCCACACTGCTGCGGGACGTGCTCCTGGCCAGGCGCTGGGCTGAGAGCTGCCGCCCTCGGGGGCCTTACCACCTGAGGAGAGGGTCTGGGGAAGCCCTGGCGTTGGTCATTGCAGGGAAACCCACCCAACCCACCCAGAGTTCCCCGTGAGACCAGGCCACCAGCGGGGCCGCGGGCAGCCCCAGAGACTGGACGCAGGAGGATCATCCCCTCTCAAAACAAAATACTAGAAGGTGCTGGGATGTGGCTCGGGGTCGGGCGCCTGGGCTCTGTCCCCCTCGGGACAGAGATAAAAACAGGTGTTTAGAGTCTCACACCTCCGGCCACGGCGGGGGGCAGCGTGTGGAGTCAGAGCTTCCGGGACACGGCGGGGCGAGGGCGTGTGCACGCGTGTGTCTGAGTGCATTCACGTGTGTGCGTGTGTGGAGGTGCATGTGGGGGGCACACGTGTGTGTGCGTGTGTGAGGACTGGGTGTGAACACAGGGACTCATGCGTGCTAGGTAACAGCCACCACTGAGCTCCACGCCAGCCCGTTTTGGGTGCAGTGGCCCAGGCTGGCCTTGAACTGGACCCTCCTGCCTCAGCCTCCAGCATGGCCTTGAACTGGACCCTCCTGCCTCAGCCTCCAGCATGGCCTTGAACTGGACCCTCCTGCCTCAGCCTCCAGCATGGCCTTGAACTGGACCCTTTCTCTTTTCATGAAGCCACCAGGATCCGATGGGGGCTCCACACCAACCACCTCAGTGACCTTGTCCAACCCTCATCGCCCCCGGCCACCTCTGAACACTGTGGTCAGGTTGAAGCTCCTCCCTCCTGACCACAGCAGACTGGACTCCCGCTGTGTTTCCGAGGACGCACCCTGCTCAGACCCACCGAGTCTGAGGGCAGGGCACAGCGGATGGCCCCTCTCCAGTGCCAGGGCAGGGGGCTCTCTGGCTCCAGGGAGAACCAGCCCTTCCTTCCATCTGGCCTTTACCTGGGTGGACGAGGCCCACCACTCCAGGGAGGCCCTCCCCAGTTACCGCGTCACCTGAACCCCTCGCCGACACGTCTGGAACCATGTTGGACCCAACTTCTGGGCACCCGTGGCCCAGCTGTGTCGACTCAGGGAGGGTCGCTGGACCCTGCTGGCCACAGGAGCACACCGCGTCCCCGTCCCGGAGTCCTGCCTGCCTCGTCGTCTTGGAGGGATTTTACAAGTGTGGACAATACAGGAGGTTCCCGCCCAGCCTCCCCAAGGCTGGCCTTTGTCCCCAGCTGCTGGGAGGTGACCTCTAGGCCCCAGGAATGTCCCTCCTGAGGGGTATGTCTCTGTTGGCCTGGAGTCTGTGGCCTGGGATAGTCCCATCTGACAATAGGAGGAACAAGGGTTGGGGCCAGGCTCTCTGGGGACCAGCCTCCAGGCAAGAGCTCAGCCAGGCAGGCTGTGTGGAGGCCGGGGCTGGGCTTCCCTGCTGGGGAGGACTCCTGGGGACAGTGACCAGACGCTCCCCCGTGGGACCCTCCCGGACTTGGCTTGGTGCCTGGCCTTCCTTGGTCAACTGGAATTTGTATCCTGTAGCCACAATAAAACCGTGAACATAGATGGACCATTTTTTTGGGTGCTGAGAGGACCTGAGGAGTGGTCATGGGGTCTGTGAACTCGGTCAGCTGCGCTGAATGGAGGGCCCAGGGAAGCCCTGGACCTGTCTGCAGAGAGAGACCCTCCGACCAGGCAGTCGGTCAAACTCTGCACATCCACAGAAATCCAAACTGTCAGCTGAGCATGGCAGCCCCACGTCATTCCAGATGCTCAGGAGGCTGGGGCGGGAGGACGACACGTAGGAGGCCAGCCTCAGCAATCTGGGGAGACCCTGTCCCAAAATAAAAATGGCTGGGGATGTAGCTGAGGGGTGCAGGGCTTCCAGCGTTCTGGGTTTCATCCCCCATCCAGGAGAGAAACAAAGGAAAGAGGAAATAGAGGCAGAAGCCGGCTGGGGTTGGCTCATGTGCGAGGAGCTGGGTTCCATCCTCAGCACCCCATAAAAGTTAACTAACTGAACAAAGGTGTGGTGTCCCACTACAACTAAAAATATATTTTAAAAAGAGGGCTGGGCTGGGGCTCAGGGGCAGAGCGCTCGCCGAGCATGTGTGGGCCCTGGGTTCGATTCTCAGCACCGCATCTAAATAAATAAAGTCCATTGACAACTAAAGAAATATTAAAAAGAAAGAAAGAAAGAAGCCGGGCACAGTGACACATGCCTGTCATCCCAGCTCCTGGACAGGCTGAGGCAGGAGGATCTCGAGTTCATGTCCAGCCTCAGCAACTGTCTCAAAAAGAGAAGCCGGCCCGTGGCCCACGCCTGCCATCCCAGTGGCTCAGGAGGCTGAGGCAGGAGGATCTTGAGGACTGTGCCTGTGCGGAGTGGAGTCCATCCTGGCATCCTGACACCTATAACGCAGTGTCCTCTGGACTCTGACCAGCTGTGACATTGTCCTGCTCTCCTCGCTGATGGGTGGCTGGGTCCCTCTCCGACGCTGTCCCCTGGTGTGCCTCTCCCTCCTCTAGGTCTCCCGGGGACCCTGTAATGCCTGCTGGGACCTGGAGTGTGTCGGGACTCAGCCTCGGGCCCCAGGCACCCGGCACGGAGCAGAGGGAGGCTGGGCGGGGCTGCCTGCCCACAGAGGCTCAGCCGTCACTCTGGTGGTTTCAGTGCTCAGAAGAAAAACCAGAGGAAGAGAAGCGCCGCAGCTCGGCAGCAGGAGGCCCGCTCACCGCCCAGCACCAGAGGACCCCAGAGGAGCCGGTGTGAGGGCCAGGTGTGAGGGCCGGCCAGGGGAAGGCCACGGTGGGGGCGATGAGAGGACACCAGCCAGGACACGGAGGACGCATCCGAAGGTCTGCAGCGTGCCATATTTCTGGAGGGCGCGTGGAGGAGGGACTAGGCACAACTTGGCTTTTGGAAGTGGCTGTGGCAGGGAGAACCAGGGGGTGGGGGTTAGCTTAAGGGTGTCCAGGGAGGGAGGGGGGACTTCAGGTGGCCACAGAGGGGAAGGCATGAGGAACACCTATGCCAAAGCCATTCTCAAAACACCATTTTGAGTGTTCCTTCCCACCACCTGATTTTCCCATGAAAAGAAGGAGTTTAGAGAGGTTAAGTCACCCACTCAAGGACACACAGCCCAAGGTAGGGGAGGTAGGAGGGTGTCCTCAGATGTCTCGCAGCGCCCAGGCCCCGCCAGCCACCCCGCCACCTGGCATGCTGCTCCCACCTCCTCCCAGCCCTTCCTGCCTTACAAACGTCTGGACCTTCACAGGATGAGTCACCCCCACCCGGAAACTTCTCCTTGGGGACAGGAATCTTGTCTTGTTCATTTGTACAAGAAAACATGAGGTCATAGCCCACCCTTCCCTACTTCAGACTTGCCAGTGGCTTCCTGGCCACACCCCGAGGCCCACCCAGGCCTCCCCTGCAGCCCCCCAGGCTGGCCCCCTTCTCCTCCCTCCCTCCTCACCGGGTCTCCAACACAACCCGGGCTCTCCTGCCCCAGGGCCTTTGCGCAGCTGTGCCCAGGGCTGAGAGTATTCCTCCCTCAGAGCCTCTCAAGCCTGGATTTCCCGAGCCACCAGGTCGAGCTCAAATGTCACCTTCCCAGAGGGGCCACCCTGACCCCCTTGAAGGAGCCCCATGCCCCCCAGGAGTACCACATTGGAGACACCAGGGTTCCTCAGTTCTTTGTCTTGCAGATTCAAAGAAGGAGATCCAGGGCAGGAAGGGGCAGGGAAGCAACAGGATCCACCAAGAAGGGCAGCCGCGCTCCTCAGGGAGGGGTCCCGAGGAGGTGGCCAGGGTGGCCAGGGTGGCCGCGGCACCTGCCATCTAGAAGTGTACATGGTCAGGTTGGAGGGGACCGAGGTGGCCTGACCGCAGGCTGGAGGCTTCAAAGAAGGGGGTCTCTGAGTCCAGTCGCAGCAGGACCCCTGTGTCCTGTCCCCTGTCCAGTCGGGGGCTGCTGGGGCCACTTCATCTCAGCTCTGGCTCCAATAGCGCCTGGGTCACGAGCGGCCACGCACTGCCAGCTCCTGGGGTGCTGGGCCTGTCTGCCGACCCCCTTCCTGCCCTGCTCAGAAGCTCCCGCCAGGGTCTGAGGTCAGGTGGCGCCTCACGTGGACGGCCCCCAGCAAGGAGGGAGGAGCCCACTGGACGCCCTGAACATCGGGACCTTCCAGAGACGCTGCCCACGTCCGTTTTGCAGAAGGGCCATCGGAGGCACAGTGAGGGCCACACAGCTGGTCGGCAGGAGCTGGGACTCAAGCCTGGGCGGGCCCTGCCCTGCCACGTCCTGACACTGTCACCCCAGGGCATCCCTCCCGTCCGGGTCAGCGCCGGCTGCTAGGAGGCCACCCTCCCAACTCCGCAGCCTCCAGACCCGGAGTGACTTCTCACGGCTCTGCAGCCAAGCCCAAGGTCAAGGGCCTCCCACCCGGTCCCACCGAGGGCTCTTCCTGGTTGATGGCCTGCTGGTGTGTCCTCGCAGCAGCCAGCTCTGGTCTCCGTCCCTCTTCTTAGAAGGACACAGGCCCGATCCTGAGGACTCAGCCTCGGGGCCTCGTGGACACCCACGTCCCTCTCCGGGCAAACCGGTGTGGATCTGGGGGACAGAGGAGGACGCTTTCCTCCTGTGAGGTGGCGGGCCTCCACCTCTGCAGCCCCCCTCCAGCCCCAGCCGCCCAGCTGCGGGCACCCTGCCTCCCCCAGCAGGTGCCATCTGTCTAGCAGCGGCACCCTCAGCTGGGCTGGGTGGCACAGGCCGGGTCTTACGCACCAGGTAAGAGGAGAGAGTACTTCTGCGGGGGCACCGTGTCAAGGGGGCCCTACAAAACTCAGCCAGGACGGTGAATATTCTTTTTTAAAAAAAGTATTTTCAGGGGGTGGGGCTGGGGCCCAGGGGGAGAGCCCCCGCCTGGCACGGGCGAGGGCCTGGGTTCGATCCTCAGCACCACGTAGAGACCAGTAAGTGAAATATCATGTCCAGCGACAGCTGAGAGCACTTTGGAGATATTCGTTTTAGATGTTGATGGACCTTTATTTTATTTATTTCTATGCTGAGAACCGAAGCSAGTGCCTGGCACAGGCCGGGTGGGCGCCCGGGCCCGGTGGGCTCGGCCAGCGCTCTGCCCCTGAGCCCCACCTGGCCCAGGACCCCTTCTGAGCTCTTCTCATCCCACCCGCTGTGCCAGCCCCAGGATCACACAGGGGCCGCGGTGGAGGGGCTGTCACTCCTGTGCCCACACTCACACACCATCGGGTTTTGAAAGAGGCTGAGCTGCTCCATTTTAGCAGCAAGAGATTTCAATTGCAAGACTCCCATTCAGGTGGAGGGTGGGCTTCGGGTCCCAGGGGAGACAGGGTGGCCTCTCGTCGGGCTCCCAGAGGCATCTCAGGGCCGAGACTATGGCGAAACCTCTGGGGGGTGGTGACAACTCCACCCCAGGATCATGCTGTGATGCAGAATTTTCAAAAGTCACCCTGAGGGCTGGGGAGGGCTCAGGGTAGGGCTGGTGCTGGGTGAGGTCCCAGGTTCGCTCCTCAGCACCCACTCGGGGAGAACACTCAGGGCTGGGCTCGGCCGTAGAGCACCCGCCTAGCACGGGCGGGCGGGACCCGGGTTCGAGCCTCAGCACCACATAAAAATAAATAAAATAAAGGTGTTATGTCCACCTACGACTAAAAAACAAATATTAAAAAGAAAGAAAGAAAAATTCACCGTGAGGACCAAACTTCTGTGCCCAAGACAAGTGCCTGGCTGGCTTTGCCCCCACACCGGCCCTGGGTCTAACAAAACTTTATTCACAAAAGCAGGCATCCAGGGCTGGGGATGTGGCTCAGCGGTAGCGCGCTCGCCTGGCATGCGTGCGGCCCGGGTTCGATCCTCAGCACCACATACCAACAAAGATGTTGTGTCCGCCGAGAACTAAAAAAAATAAATATTAAAAATTCTCTCTCTCT